GAATGGAAAAGTTTATCCGGATAATTTTCATGGGATTTATGCGTACGAGTTTATTTGGTGGATTTAATCTATTTGGTTGAGTTTAATCGGTTAATTTTTAATCGGTCGAGTTCATCTGGGGGCACTTAATCGTTTGGGTTTAGTCGGATAATTTGGTTTAAGTGATTCATTCGGTTGTGACGAGTTAGTTGAAAAGAGTAATCAGGAGAGTTTTAATTGGAGAAAAATAATGTGAATTTTTATTCATATTTATTTTTGTTACAAATTACAATGGAAAGTAAAATACATCTTTTCGATTTCTAAGTCTAAAGAAAAATCCTAAATTGTCCTAAAAAGTCTTTCGCTTCCGATTCTTCGAGTTTCCAATCTTTTCCTTCGAACCTTCAAATCAACAAACAGTAAAAATGTTAAAGTTAGTTAAAAGTGTTTTTATTGTTCCGATACCCTCAGAAAATGTTCATCATCGGGTACGTCGGGAGGGCAACAACGGAGTCGAAGCCAACTCCCGACTCATTTTCTCGACCTCGGTAAATCAGGCAACATTTGTTCTAAGAGAGAGAGAGAGAGGAAAATGTGATTATCCGGAAAAGTGATTTTTGAAAAAGCGCTTTTGAGAAAAACACTTTTTATGGAAAAATGGGTTTTACCAAACGCGACCTTAACAGAAATTTCTAGAAAAGTCCAATCCCAACGGATCAAATAAGCACTTTTGGAAAAACGCAAAAACAAGGCAACGTAAGCCGCGAGTTGCGCAACAAGCAGTTTCCTTGGAAAGCTGCATTCAACAACCAAAACAAACTCATCCTGAAAAAACGCAGCAAGAACAATATGCCACAACAACAAATCGTCATCCCTGCAAAATGCCTAGCGAAACACAACGTTTCCGGAAAAAGCAACCGTATCGCAACAATCAAACTCAACAAAACCGTGAGAAATTTTCGCAACCAATAGCCACAAAATCCTGAAAATCAACATAATCAAGGCATCATTTTTGCAACAAGATCGTAAGATCCAAGCCCATGAAAGAAAATAGAAGAACTATAAAGGGAAATCGCGAACCCAAAAGAAAGGGATCGAAACGCATCACCATCAAGACGTGAAAGAAAAGCCAGAACTTCACACCGTCGGCCAAGCGGAAGGTTCCGACGCCTTCGGACGGAGGAAGATTCCGAAGGCTTCGGACGGAGGAAGATTCCAACGAAATTTTGTTCAAAGCATTGCGGCCAACCGTCATCGTTCAACCGCAAAGCCTTAGTCGAAAAACATCATCGGCCGGAAACCATCCAAAGCGCTAACTCAACCAAATCGTGGAAACCCAGCGGGCTCAGAGACAGAAGTCTCTTCATCGCCATCAAGTATGCCCGTGAACCACTTCCGCAAGTCCAAGAGCAAACACAAGCAATCCGCCTTTGTTTTTCGAGGTAAAGATGAATTGTTTAACTTTTTCTCTTATGTTTATTTCAGAGAAAGCAGAAGAAGTAACAGAAGTGGAAGAAGAAGCATCGCGAAGCCACATGCAAGCGAAAGATGAAAAGGAAAAGCTCAACACCGAAGCAAAAATGTATTCCGCCACCGCTTGGTTCGAAGGAGAAGGGAGGGTTTGAAAATAAACCCAAAAAGTTGTTTCAACCCAAGTCGTCCGCCCCTTCCCCTTTTTACAACTTTTTATCATTTGTTTTTTTTTCTTTTTTTTATTATTATTTTATGATGTATTAAAAAACCACTCTTTAATCTAATTTTAATTAAGAAATTAAAACTTTTAATTAAGGCATGATTAGAAAATTGAAGACTTTTAATTAAAACCTATTTTAAAACCACTTTTTTTAATTCAAAATCTTTCTTTGAAAAAACTTAAACATCTCAAAAATTAAAACATCAAACCTTTCTTATTAAAATTAACCTTTTTCGGATATTTAAGATTAAATTTTTTTTAAAAGTAAGATCAAAACCCTTTTAGTAATTAGGATTAAACCTTTTTTTTAAATTAAGACTTATTTTAATTTTTAAATCGAAACTTTCTATGAATTTTAAAACCTTTTTTTTCCTAAAAATAAGACTTTTGTTAATAAAGTTCAAATTCTTTTTCTTGTAAATTCCTCCATTAATCTTAAAATTTTTCTCTTTTCTGTCTCCCTAAAAGTTTATCCAGTATTTTCGACTTCAGGATCGAAGTAAGCTGTCACCTAATGACGGAAGTGCCTTCGTTTATTCTCGTCTAATATTATTGTCGTTCTTTTCGTTGCTTTCTCCTTGGTGCAGCTATTCACCCTTTTATTTTTCCGTATTTATTTTTCACGGTTGTAAATTATGCTAAGACATTGTTGATTTTATTTCGTATTTTTGGTTTGTAATTATGTGAGCCAATCATCGCTGTCTCATTCTCGTTTTTTGGGTTTTGTAATTTATGCGAGTAATCGTCGCTTTGTACCTTTTATTATTTAACTGCTTTCATTACTTTCCCGTATTTCAATTATCGCCGTTGTAGGGATTTGTCATTTGCATTATTTACCGTTAACCCCTCTGAAGGGTTAGGTCTAACAGTTTGACCGCCGAGTCAATAGTCCTCTCCTTTGACACATTCAAAACCCTAATTGCCTAGGTGTCCCGCCGTGGACTCAGATACCCTTTACCCTAGCATTAGGTCAAGGAGTCTCCTCACTCCGTTTTATGGTTTCCCGTTGTGGAATGTTTAGTTTAACCCTAATTTCAAATTAACTATTTCAATGTAGAAATAGGAGTCGCCGCACTCCACGTAAGCGCTTCCTTAAGAACGCTTATTCCCATTGAAACCTTGACCATAGTCAAGACGTTTCTAACCTCCCTTTCTATGGGAACTACGATTACTCTGATTCCATTCCCTATCCAGGATACGTAGGCACAAGATGCAAATCTTGCCGAGTAAACTTAGGACTAACCCTTAGGTCTTTCAGTCACTCTTAACCCTTAGCTCAGTATATATCCTCAAGCAAATAGTAAACTTTAAACAAAAGGTTCCTATAGAGTACTACAGAAGTTTAGGATGCTAGTACCTTCCCTAAGCTTAACCAACCCCTTACCTAGAGCTCTCCCCGCATTATTTATGATACAAAAATTAGGTTTTCCTTCTTTTGACCTTTTCCTTCGGATAAATCAAAGTCGGCTGTGAATCAAAGATTTGCGATTCAAACTAATTAATAGTTTGATATCTTATTCTCACCGTAACAATGGTGTCCTAGAACATAAGGGGGTTCAATAGAACAACCAAGAATAAGGATATGTTCTCCCGTCTCAGGGTTTTAAGCCTAACTATAGCTATTATTCTAGAGACTAGAATCAAGATTCAAAAAGCTGAGAAGAGTGGGAATTTGCTTGGTGGAAATTGGAAATTCATTGACAATTATGATAATCATGTCAATCGGCGTATTTGGATACTTTGGGACCCTAGTAGGGTATAGATCAATATGGTCAAGAGTAGTGAGCAAATAATTCACTGTGAAGTAAGGAATACTGATGGGGGATTTCAACATTGGCTTACAGCAATTTATGCAGCCAATAATATGAACCAAAGGAAACGTTTTTGGAAATACATTGAAGAGTTTGGCATTAGCAATGAGGCCCGGTTGCTTATGGGTGACTTTAACAATGTCTTGAGCACTCAGGACAGAATGGGAAGCAAAGAAGTCAAGGAAAATGAATATTGTGACCTTGAGAATATGATGGGTGTAACTGGTTTGTTTGAAGTAAACGACAAGGGTGATTGGTTCACTTAGTCTAACAAGCAGAGGGAAGGTGTTGTGTACTCCAAAATAGACAATGCTATTTTTAATATGTGTTAGATCCAGAAGAATATGGAGAAGAGTGTTCTTGCTCAAATGTGAAGAGAAGCAAGTAGGGCCAATAGGCATTTCAGATTCATCAACTGTATGACAGAGGTTGAGAGCTATAAGGAAGTTGTTGCTAATAGTTGGAGTAGAAACACAAAAGGGGAGCCAATGAGTAGGGTATAGAAAAAGCTTATTAGGCTGCAACCTGCTATGAAGCAGATTCAAAGGCCTGTGATTGGTATCAGGAGTCAAATTGAGAAAGCTAGAGGAAAATTGGTTGAGGCTCAAAAAGAATTTGGGAAATATTGTATGAACTGTAGGAAGATTGATGCTGTCAGAAGTTGGATTGAAACCTTGCTTAACTTAAATGATACTGAAGAAATGATTATGAAGCAGAGATTAAAAATAGAGTGGATTAAGTTAGGTGACAACAATAATGCTTTCTTCTATGCAGCCTTGAAGAGTAAGCATAAGCAAAGCATGATTAGAAAGATCTATAAGGAGGATGGTACTAGATTGAATACTCAAGAAGACATTGAGAAAGAGGTTTTATCTTTCTATGGCAAGCTGATGGGTCATTCTAATTAGGAGTTGGATTGTATTGATATAATAGCTCTGAGGAATGGAAAGCAGCTGACTCAAGAACAGAGGTTTATGCTTGTTGAAACTATTACAGATGTTGAAATTTAAGGTGCTCTTAAGAGTATTGATGAGATAAAAGCCCCTGGCCTGGATGGTTTTGGATCCAGACTCTTCAAGAAATCCTGGAACATTGTTAAGTATGATGTTATTGTTGTTATCAGGGATTATTTTGACAAAGGAAAAATTGGAAAGATGAATGGAACTCTTGTGACCCTCATTCATAAACACCCTGATGCCAAATCCCTTAAAGATTATATGCCAATTTCTTGCTGCACTACAATCTATAAGATTATCTCTAAAGTCCTGGCTAACAGATTAAGCAGAGTGTTCGGTAGTATTGTTAGTGATAATCAGCTTGCCTTTGTCTCAGGGAGAAGAATTCATGACCATGTCCATCTGGCCTATGAACTCATAAAAGGTTATAATAAGAAAGGAACTGCGCCAAAGTATTTACTCCAGATGGATATCCACAAGGCATACGATATGGTGGATTGGAATGCACTTCAAGGAATCTTGAGAGAAATTGGTTTCCCTAGGCAGTTTGTCAAGCGGATCATGGATGGAATAACTACTATAACCTACAGGTTTTGTGTCAATGGGAATTACACTAAGGAGTTGAAGGCTAAACGTGGGCTGAGGCAGGGTGACCTTATTTCACCTATGTTGTTTGTAATCATCATGGATTACCTGGATAGGAAGCTGCAGGATTTGGACAGGATCCCTAATTTAAATTATCATTCGAAGTGTGGAAGGCTGAAGATCACAAATTTGTGCTTTGTTGATAACCTTCTTATGTTTGCAAGAGGTGCTGAGGGGTCTGTTAATTTGATGATGGAGAAGTTTTGGGAGTTCTCCAAGGAAATATAGTTGTATGAGAATCTTGGGAAATGTCATATCTATCTTAGTTGTGTAAAGGAAAATGTGAAGCAGGACCCGTAGAAGATAACTGGATTTAAAGAGGGAGCCATCCCCTTTAAATACTTGGGTATTCCCCTCACCAGTAAGAAGATTTCTTTGGCTCAGTGTGCTTTGCTGGTGGACAGAATTAGCTCGAGAATGAGGCATTGAAGCTTGAGTTTACTTAGTTATGCTGGGAAGATCCAGTTAATTAACAATGTTGTGTTTGCCATATCAAGCTATTTGATGAATTGAATTCCTCTTCCTAAAGGTGTGATAACCATAATTGAGGGCATGTGCAAAAGATTCTTGTTGAATGGAAAAGGGGAGAAGAGCAGAAAATCCTTGGTTACTTGGAAGAAAGTCTGTAGCAGGAAGAAGCATAGAGATCTTAATATTCTGGCGCTGTTTGAGTGGAATCGTGCTCAAATGGCAAAGTTGTTATGGAATATTTATTGTAAAGAAGATAGCCTTTGGATTAGATGGGAGTATACTTACCATATGAACCAAGAAGATGCTATAAGAGCTCCAATCAGGAGTTGTTGCTCGTGGATTCTCAACAACATCCTGCAGAACAGAGAGTATGTGAGTACCAGCCAGGTCTGGAATAAGGCTATGCAAAATGGGAAGTTCAAGGTTAATGATATGTACTATGAATTTATGGATCAACAACAACCAGTTGTTTGGAAAAGGCTGTTCTATGATAATATGGCTAGACCACGAGCCAAATTTATATTGTGGCTTGCTTGTCAAGATAGGTTAGCAAATAAGGAAAGAATGATGAGGTTTGGGCTGATAGGTGATGATAGATGCACCATGTGTCATATGGTGGAAACTCTGGACCACCTGATGTTCAAGTGTAATGGTATGAAACTGTGTGGTAGCATGTGCTTGAGTGGCTCTAGGTGCAGCATAAACCTGATAGTTGGCATTTAGAGATGGATTGAATGATTCAAAAGAACAAAGGAAAGAATTGGAGGAATAGAGTGTTGAGGATTGCGTTTTCCGAAACTGTGTATGAGTGTGTCGCTACTGCGAAAATCGGCGCCGACTATGACAGAAGAGTCGCCACCGTGCGTTATTTATCCCAACGGAGGGAAAGGAAACGCTCAGAGTAAACCTAACGCAAAACGGGAAAGGAATGGTCGTCGCAACCAAATTCCTAGATTCGGGATTCGGTTACGTAAGGGGAAGGTATTAGCACCCCTCACGTTCGCCGTACTCGACGGGATCCACGCTTGTTTTCTGGTACGGATTGTTACTCTATCTACACTAAAGGTCAAGGGACAGAAGGAAAGAAAAGAGAAAAGAGACTCGATAGAGCTTCACCACTCTATGCCTACGTATTCCCTCGTGCAATGGGAAAGTCAGAGTCTACGTAGTTCGGCTAACTACGGATGAAGGTGGGAAGGTTGCTCGCTGAGATGTCGCATCTCGTGCCTACGTACTTTCATACGGCATGAAAGATCAGAGCAAACGTAGTTCGGGCTACGGAAGACACAAGCTTGCCTGACAGTTTTTTATCTCCTTATGAAAGGGTTTTCCTGATTAAAGGTCCAAGAGGACAAAACAGAGTTTGATTGTTTGTTTGAATCTTTTACAAAAGAACTGTTTTTTAGTTTGTTTGCAATCTCTGACGCACTAGAGACTATGATTTGAGAGTGACTACGTCTCGTGTCACCCAAAGGGTGCCACACTAAGCGGCCAGACTACTGGAAAGAAGCTCTCCAGCAACCCTTTCTCAAATAGCTTAAGGCTCGTAACGTACGACATCGATTAACCTTATTACTGTATTTTTGAGTTGTTTTGAGATAAGAAGAGAAAGAAGCTCTAAAAAGCCTAGGGTTGATAAGGGAATGAAAACTAACCTAATGTTGTCATGCATGGATAAGAATCCTAATGTCTGTCATAATTCCCTCCTGCACAGAGGAAATCAGAGATCCTAGGGGATAAACGGAAAAGAAAGCAAGCAAAAACAGTAAAATGCATGCAATGCAGCAATACAGGCGAGGCAAGGGAGTACTGCTCAACCTCGAACCTAGGAAAACAATAGGCAAAGTGAATCAACATTCACTTTAAACCTTAAGGGGGAAAGATGCACAAGCCAACAAACAATACAAAAAACAAAAACCAAAGCAGAGGAGGCAGCCCAAGCAGCAGCATCAAACTCCTACAGCCGGCACAAGCAGCAGCTCTGACAGCAACAACTGATTAAACAGCAAAAAGTTGACAGCAACAACCTTCATCTTCATGAATAACTTCAACAAACAAACAGCTTCAACAAGCAACTGGCTTCAACAAGCAACCTCCAAAGGAGAATCAATTAATAAGATCAAGTTGAAATGTTAAGTAACTTAATGACAACCAAAGGAAGCCACTAAGAACCTTACATTGTAAAGGAACTGTATCCTCAAAGTTCTACTCTTAAAGCATGCCACTCATCCCTCCAAAGGAGAGATGTGACTTCTTTAAGAGGACTTTATGTCATTGGATTGAATGGAGATGAACAATATACTCCATGTCTGAAGAAACAAGCAAAACTAATCTAATGCTCTTCCTAAAACCCTAGTTTCCCTAAGCTCCTGACAAGCATCCACAAGATGAGAAAATATTAATGTCTATGCTCTTCCAAGCTCTCCAAATCATCTTCAAGTTGTCTTCATTTCCATCCAAAAGCAAAGGCACCACCACTTAAGTCTACAGGGAACTATTGAGTTAAACTAGTCAAGTTAGTGTGTTAGAAACACCTAAATGTTAGTCTTAAAACTAAATCTAATTAAAATACTAAAAATGATTGTAAAATCCTATAAAAAATTCTAAGGTTTCCTAAACGTATTAAGAACATCTCCATACAAAAACCAGGGGGTTAATCAACCATTAAGACCTAAAACTATGTCCTAAACCTAAGGGTACCATCTTAAAACCCTAAAATTACAACACTTATCGTTCAATATTCAAAACAGCCTAAAATTCTCTCACAAAATTATGATAAAATTACTATGGGTACATGCTCATCTAAGATAAATAATCCAAAAATAATCACTCCAAAAATCCACACCAATCTCCCATACTAAAATCAACAAAATAGCACACCAACCATATCCAAAATAAAAGCAATTAAAATGCAAAATATGTAATTAAAATATGAAATGCATTAATTATGAATTTTTTAATCCTAGAAAATTCTACACTCTCTAAAGATTTCAGGGGGAAAATTCTAACCTAAAAAGAATTAATTTCCTAATTGTGGTGAATTAATTTCTAACCTATATGCTAAATGTGAAAATAAATGGAAATAATACAAAATAGAAAAAACTGCATTGCAAATAGTAATTGATCTACGTTATAATCCAGACATGGGCCCAGCAGGGGGTGTTAATATCAATCGTCTTATTAAGCCCAAAACGAAAATAAGAAAATCATGGAAATTGTAAAAAGTTTGTGGCAAATAGCAAGGATTCTTAGTGTATTTCCTCAATGGGCCTCAATGCAGGATGTGATTAGTAATGAAATACTTAAGCCCAGACAAATGCGTTTAATGAAACGCAGAGTTTCAACAAACTCACTTCTTCAGATTATAACATGAAATCTTGGCCGTTGGTTTGAGTTAGTGGTCAAGGTCAAGCATGGATCTAACGCCTGAGAAGTCATCTTCTCCAAAATTTGAAAAAATGAGAGGGAAGGTTTGGGACGGTGGCCTGAGACACAGAGCCACCGTCGCCTCCGGCGAGAGGGCACCAAAATGCACCAAAATTTTGTCAAATCACGAATAAATACAAATCTTTCCACGTCAGGACTCACATTTCGTCAACCCGAAGAAATCTTAACAACACAGGAATAGAACTTTGTCAACGTTAGGACGCTTGTTTCGTCAACACGAAGAAATCCCCTCAACAAGAGCAAAACTTTGTCCATGTTAGGACGCACACCTCGTCAACACGAAGAAATCCCATCATAAACTTGTCCATGTTAGGACTCAAATTTCGTCAACCCGAAGAAATCCTATCGTCATAGGAATAAAACTTGTCCTCATCAGGACTCCACATTCCGTCAATACGGAGAAATCCTATCATCATAGGAATAAAACTTGTCCTCATCAGGACTCCACATTCCGTCAACACGGAGAAATCCCGGCGACTTCGCTGGGGATGAGTTGTCCGCATCTCGTCAACACGAGGAGATCCTATCAACATAGGCAGTAAAATCTTATTTGCGTCTCGTCAACACGAGGAACTCCTATCAACATAGGAATAAATTGTCCATGTCAGGACTCACATCTCGTCAACATGAGGAAATAAACCCGTCACCATGAAGAGAAATAAATTTATCCACGTCAGGATTCCATCTCGTCAACACGAAGAACGGTAAACTTGTCCACGTCAGGACTCGCATCTCGTCAACACGAGGGAAGGTAACTTGATTTGTCCACGTCAGGAATCACATCTCGTCAACACGAGCAAATCCTATCAACATAGGAGTAAATTTTCCACGTCGGGACACCGTTTCGTCAACACGAAGAAAGATAAATTTGCGCACGTCAGGACTCGCGCATCTCGTCAACACGAGGAACTATAAGTTTGTCCACGCCAGGACGTACATTTCGCCAATATGAAGAAAGATATCTGCTGGGGATAAATGCTCCACGTCAGGACACCATTTCGTCAACACGAAGAGTAATCAATTTTTCCACGTCAGGACTTCACATTCCGTCACCACGGAGAAATCAAATCTGCCCACGTTAGGACTAGCACATCTCGTCAACACGAGGAAATAAATCTGTCCACGTCAGGACTCATATTTCGCCAGCACGAAGAAATCCCGTCAATACAGGAATAAATTGTCCACGTCAGGACTCATATCTCGTCAACACGAGGAGCTCCTATCAACATAGGTAATAAAATTTTGGCGACTTCCGGGGAAATACTTCTGTCAACCAGTAGGAAAATACATCCGTTTATCCATACGAGCAA